TGTCACCATCATCCAAGTCAGTGAGAGTTTGTCCACACGGCAGCAGGAAGCGTCATGTGTCCGTCCTGAATGTTTGCAGCTTGACGCAGCTGAAGTGAAAGCAGCCGACAGAGTTGAGTGTTGAGGCGGAGAGCAGCTGGACGTGTGAGCCTCTGATCGCTGTTTATTCAACCTGATTACTGCAGCATTTATAGTTTTATGACTCAAAGACATCCTCAGAGGGAGAACGATGAGAATGAATAACGATGAGAATGAACAACGACAGGAATCAACAGCAGGTCTTTTGTGGTGTCAGTCAGATTTGTGTCACTCGCGGAAATAAGTGTTAACTTTCATAGTTACCAAACTGGTACAGCTTTATTCTGTAAGCACTGATTGTTTTATGAGCACATAGTGAATCTAAACAGGCAGTTTAGACCAGAAGAGAAGAAAAAACACTGGACAGCACCCGTGGTTCGATCCCAGGGAGGGATAGAGATCAGCGAATTCTGCAGAGAGAATTGTTGAGCGAAGTAACCACTGAGCTAAACCAGTGCAGCTGTTCAGACAGGAGAAGCTGCTTTTATCCAGCTGCTGTCTCTGAAGCTGCACTTCGTGGTGCCACATTTGGACAGTTTTCTGTTGTTTAAGTATTTCTGAAGACAGTATTCCACTGTTGTTGGTTTGTTTGACATATTTCATCTGGCAGCATCACTGTCTGATCTTTGCTGTTTGTTTTTGTAGATTTTTACAATATAAAACTATGATAACCCATTGAACTGAATTGAACATTTGTTTAAATAAATCGGGTATTTTTTTCATGTTGCATGTTTAAATCAAGCTGAGCTAAAGTGCTGCAAGTTACAAGACAGACAACACACAGCAGCTGGATAAAAGCAGCTTCTCCTGTCTGAACAGCTGCACTGCTTTAGCTCAGTGGTTTCTTCTCTGTAACAATCTTTTTGTTTTTGTGGTTCAATCCTTCCTCAGGATCAAACCACAGATGCTGTCTCATGTTTTTATGGTTCCCTCTGATTCCAACCTGCACATTTACTCTAATAAAGACGTTGTTGCAGAGCTCCAAGTTCATTTCTCCTCTGCAATGTCTCATTAAGAAGTGCAGCGTCAGAGGCAGCAACTGGATAAAAGCAGTTTTTCCTGCCTGAAAAGTCGCACTGGTTTAGCTCAGTGGTTACTTCTGCACAAATCTACCTGATTTCGCTCACCCATCCCTCTGCGGGATCGACCACGGGCGCTGTCCAGTGTTTTTTTCTCATCATCTGGTCTAAACTGCCTGTTTAAATTCACTATGTGCTCATACAACAATCAGTGCTTACAGAATAAAGCTGTACCAGTTTGGTAACTATTAAAGTTAACACTTATTTCCGCGAGTGACACAAATCTGACTGACACCACAAAAGACCTGCTGTTGATTCCTGTCGTTGTTCATTCTCATCGTTCTCCCTCTGAGGATGTCTTTGAGTCATAAAACTATAAATGCTGCAGTAATCAGGTTGAATAAACAGCGATCAGAGGCTCACACGTCCAGCTGGTCTCCGCCTCAACACTGAACTCTGTCGGCTGCTTTCACTTCAGCTGCGTCAAGCTGCAAACATTCAGGACGGACACATGACGCTTCCTGCTGCCGTGTGGACAAACTCTCACTGAGGCAACTTTTCCATCTCATTGCTTTCTTAAACATCTTTGTATGACTGCATTGCTGTCTTTTAATGTGTGCTATTTTCAAACATGCCAATATATGCAAATATGTTCAAACACTGATAAATGCAAAGTCGGTATAGGCTACAAATAACTCGGACATGGTGTCATGTTAATACAAAAATAAAAAGTTCATCGATGCAAGTCATTGTTCTTTTATTGTAGTTTTTAGGTTACTGAGCAACAGCTTTTTTGTAGTTCATGAATAATATTGTCAAGCTTTGAAGTCAGAATATTCACCACAGAAACTCTCAGCTGTCAACAGTCTGCTCAAACATATTCCAGCGCTCCTAAATGCCCCATCTACGCTGACGGTACGCCAGCATCGCTAGCAGACCTTAGGTCAGATGCTCAGATGTCTTCTTCTGTGTATTTCATATATTTGAGTTATCAACTGATCTGGGACCGGGTGAGTTGATTTCCTGTAGCGCATGCGTATAACCGTCAGTGAAATTGGTGTGTTGACAAATATCGGGGGAGGAGCACTGCGGCGTAAGTAGAGCTTTGTTCAGTCTGGAATATGTCCTGCACTATTTACACCATATTAACTACACAGTTAAATGTCTTTTTACATTGTGTTTAGTAGCTGTTGCAGTCACTGTCTTCACTAGAGCAGCACAAAGGAAAGTGCTTCGTTAAACATCTGTACGAACCGCTGGGGCCGAGTGGTTATGTAGCAGAAAGATCCGTGTCAAGTCAACACAACGACACAGTTGATTTCCGGTGAAATTTACAAATTAAAATATCTTCTTACTCACGCATCCAAATTTTTCCGAGTTACGTGGCTAAAATTAACAATACAAAAATACATCTAGAGATTCTTTTTGTAATGCAAACGAAATCGCTCCCTCACAACACCGCTGTGCTTCGCCCAGACGAACGACCGCGCAGTTTCTTCTTCAGTATTTTTAAAAGCAGAATCGGTCGTTTCCGTTTCCACCCGCACTAACGTTCGCAGCTTGCTCAGCACCCACAGCTAGCTACCGCCAACCTTTACTAACATCGTTCCAGCTTTATTCTCCTGTTTTCACGCTTATTACTGTTCAATGTCTTAACGGTAGTCAGCATTGTGTGGTTTCGAGCAAAGTTTCGCCTCGTTTCTCTGTCAAACTTATGAACTTGTCTGACAGTCTGGCTGTGGGCGCGAGTGAAGGCGGTCTCCTCGTCCAACACCTTCGCTAGAAATGAAGAGGTGAGTGGGACGGTAACATTCGCCATTGTTAACTAATAACAGCAGATTTAGGCTAGCAGCCGGCCGACTAGCAACAACATCAGTAGTTATTAAGCTAATATCACCACAACATGATTTATCTCTTGTGTTTCTCGTGTGTGAAGCCAACAGAAAAGCCCCGAACCAGACGGGAGTGTTGCCGTCAACGAGGAAGGTAAAAGGAATAAACTTTCACCAATAAGACAGTGTATTGTGTTGTTAACGGGTATTTTAAAGCCATCAAGGGACTGGTGTGGCATTTGTATGTTCTCTACTGAGTCAAACAGGTTCAAGTTCTGACTTTGAGTGAAACTGGTGGAGGTTCAGGCTTTTAAAGTCATCATATTATAGAGCTGCTCTGTCTTTGGACTTGGTTCTTACAGCTGTGAAGTTGACTGATGCCTCCTATTTCTGCTCCTTCAGGGTCCGTAGCCACAGCAGAGGATCCAGCAGCCATTGCCACCATCCAGTCTGCTGCCACCTTCACCGACCAGCCCATCAAATATCTCTTCAAGACAGAAGGAGCAGGAGGGCAGGTGGGATGGAGCGTTATTAAAAAATGAAGTTCACCTGTGGGATGTTAGTTCAAACCTCTTCAGCTGTTATTTCTACCAAGAGGCAGATAATCAGATCTCACATCCTGCATTTTTCTAATCAGCCATGCAGTGATTTTTTGTAAACCTATTTTTGATAAAATAAGCTAATTTAAAAATGTGCTGCTATGGCTTTGATGCAGCCATCCGGCTATCTGCAGTCACCAGTCTGATCTGTCCCGCCCACAGCGCTATCTGACTGGTCAACGGTCACCAGTAAGAGCCTGAAGGATAAATGATATAAGTTCTCTGTTAATTAGACATGAGGAGAAAAGAATTAATTTCAACAAAGTTTGTTGTTGGAGTTTATGTTGCTCTAAATTTTGCCACCACTATTTTAATTTTTGCTTCAAATATGTATCAGTTATCAGTCTCTTTGATTACTAATAATCTGAGTTGACCATGAAAAACTTTATTGGTCAGCAGAGCACAAATACACCATTCATCTGGAAGTGTAATCAAGAAGTTGTCGTAGATTAATCGTAGCAACTGGACTTGCTTGAGTTTCTTGAAGACGTTCCACTTCTCATCCAAGAGGCTTCATCAGTTCTGACCGACTAGTTGGGAGATCCAGATACCTATATGCTTAAGGAGTCATTAACACCTGAGTTTCGAAGTTCGAGTTCGAAACTCAGGTGTTAATGACTCCTTAAGCATATAGGTATCTGGATCTCCCAACTAGACGGTCAGAACTGATGAAGTCCAGTTGCTACGATTAATCTACAAGAATAACCATGACCTGGATGACTGAGAATCGTCACAGACATGTAGTCAAGAAGAAATCTTGCTGAAGATACCACACGTAGACAGTCGTTAGACACATGTCAGCATGACAGCTAAATGAAAATAGATATTCAGTTAATATTGCAGGTGGACAATTGAAATGTGAATTAAACATTTTGATCAGAAACTAAGCAGGATTTGTATTGTTCCACCAGCTGGGGTGCAGCAAATTAAGTAATTTCCCAGATGTCACTACAGATGCCCGCTGCTGAATCCACAGGATGTTTATGACCTTGGAGGTCATGTGACTGAGCTAAAACAGACCCTCTCCGCATTTTAACCCACACCCACTAAAAAATACAAACATACTCTGAGTACTGGTGGCTCACTTCACTTAATGGAGACCTAAAAGTTCAGGTTTTCAAGTTTCAAGATTTGGATTATGTATGTGCGTATGCTCTGCTGTGGTTTGTGTGTCACCTCGGTGGTAATCAGATATTGAGTGTAATGTGCTGTGTTGCAGGTGACCTACAGAGTGATCCAGGTGTCAGATGGCCAGTTGGAGGGTCAGACAGATGGAGCTGCAGCAGTTAGCCTGGTCGCTGGCTTCCCTGCCACCACCCAGGCTGTCACACAGGTGAGAGCGACACTGGCTAACTGTGCAGGAATACATTTCCAACCACTCCAGTTTATAAAATGTGCCTTTTATACGGTTAAATACGCTGAAACCATGTGGTTTAAAAAGTAGTGAGTGGTGAAAGAAATATTCTTCACGTGCAAACTAATAAACCCACCAGCAACTAACATAAATTTAAACGGACCACAGCTGCATATTTGTATAAAAAAAAGTAAAGCCTTGAATGTACAGAAGATGAGTGTTTGAAAGTAAAGGGATTGGTATTGGTGCATGCATTCTTATATTTAGTAAAGGACAAAAACTGCCCTGAGAAAACAAAGGTCTTGTCACAGCATGTGTGGGTCTGTTTTATTCTCTGACTGTTTAGGATATCTGTCTCGTGCTAACTATGAACGACTACACAATTACACAAGTGTTTGTTTTGTTCAGGGGACACAAGTCTTCTCTCGCCAACAAAAAACCTTCCCATACTTCAACTTTCACAGACTTGATGTGTGTGAAGATTGACCTCTTGTTCACACATTCACCCGCTATGTAGTGTTTGCTATATAGAAGACTCACAAGGGCATAAGGGCAGACAGATGTTCGTACTGTTTGGACACTACTTGGATGTAATGCTGCTACATAATTATGTGCCATAAATTTGTAATTATTTCTGTTGCATAAACAAACGCTATAACATCTGCACCACTTTTGAGGCCACTGACAACACAACACAGCTATTTCTGACTCCTCCTTAGCGTGCAGGTGATGTTATAACCTGCTGTGTTAGCAAGGCGGCTTCATTCAGCCGTCGTGATGTGTCCCTGTTCCTAAATTCTCTTAATTTAGGAATGTTTTTATAGATGCTAGCTGAAAGAGACATGCCACAAAGCATGATGGTCTAAGTTGGTAGCTATAGTGTATGGCAGGGGTGTCCAATCCTGGTCCTTGAGGGCCACAGTCCTGTGATGATGATCAGCTCATCATCAAGCTCTGCAGAAGCCTGATAACGATCCTGATGATTTGATTCAGGTGTGTTGGAAGAAGGAAACATCTAAAACATGCAGGACTGTGGCCCTCGAGGACCAGGATTGGACACCCCTGGTGCATGGCATCTGTACATTACATTTGGGCATGCCTCATGATGACATTGTACAGCACAGTGTAGTGGATGAAATTTACAGTTCAGAACCCCAACAGCACTTACAATAGCCAGTTGTGTAAGATGCAAGAGGAGGAGACACAAGGAGAGAGGAGTCAAGGAAACAGATATTTTAAAAAAAAGAGACATCATTGCTTCAGAGCCGTGTCTCTAAAACAATGTCAACTAAATGTGATGTGTGGCATCATCTATCCAGCCTGCTGCTGGCTTTTAGGATGTCTGTGGGATGAGCAGAACACTGTTCATGAAAAACTTGTAGTATATATTTACCTATAATTCAATTGACAATGTGGCAGAATGTAAAATGTGGAAGTCAAACATTTTTATTCGATTGTTTAACACATACATGTGTAATGAAGCATAAATGAGTTGTGACACACGAAGGAAGAAGGACGCTCAAATTAGTGAAATGACATGAACCCAAATAGATCTTTTTTTTTAAAGGGCAGACATTTTGACATGTCATAGCAGGAGAAACAAAGGTGTATAAATGATGGCTGCTTTCCACTCAGGCTTGATTTTGTGCCAGCTGGTTCACTGTCATGGTATACTGGAATATGTAAGGGAACAGAACCATCAATAATTCCTCCTGTCAGCCCCTGCTGTGACAAATCAAAATGTCTGCCATGAAATAAAGGTCTATCAGACCACCAACAGTCTATTTCTGTGATTTATTGTGATTACAAAACTGATAAGTTAGTTAGTTGTGGTTCATTAGACTCATATTACTGGATGACTAGTTTTCACATTTTTGTGAAAATTCTAATGTATCCATCGCTCTGGTTTGTTGACAAAAAAAGTAAATGGTAAGACAACTTTAGTGCATAATGACGTTAGAATAGAACAGGAGACAAAAGAAACTGGAGAAAACACATCATAAACATGACTTCGTCATTATAATCTTGACTCAACCATAAAGGCAAACATGTATAAAATACTAGCAACAAGCAACTTAAGCGTCTTCACCTCTGTAATCATGGACATTAGCCACACAGTCACCTTTATTGTTTACTATAAAACAATGTTTTATGCTGGTTGCAGGCCGTCTTTTCCCAGTCGGAGGGGTTGGAGGGAGACGGCAGCACTGAGACGCAGTACACCTACTACCCAGCCACCATAGCAGACGCCACCACCGGCACCATGGTGACCACAGTGCAAGCGTCTGACACTCTGCTGGGCCAGACCACTCCCACAGGTAACGTCTACACATACGTAGGCTTGGCACATACAGTCATGGAAAAAATGATTAGACCTCCTTGTTTTCTTCAATTTCCTGTTCATTTTCATGCCTGGTACCACTAAAGATATATTACCTGAAGAATACAATGAACACGACAACAAATGCAGCTGATTACATCATACTTTATGTCCTATTTGACATGCTTAAACTGAATTGTATTCCCTGTAGGGTATATAAGAGGCCGTTTCATGTCATGAGCAGCACTGCACATGGAAAGGCCTGGAGTGGTTTCCTGCTTACATTCAAGCCGTAGCACAACTCAGAAGTTGTCAGCTCTCACATAATGCCTAAAACAAAAGAATTATGTGAAGCCACAAAGGCAGCCATCTTGGCACTGCTGGAAGTTGGCATGAGTGAGAGACAGGTAGCGGAAAAACTGCAGATCTCCAAGACAGCCGTTTATTACACCAAGAAAAAACAAGCCCAACACGGTACAACCACATTGCTAGCTGGTTGTGGCAGAAAACGTCTTTCTACCCCACGAGATAACCATGCACTCATCCGTTCATGTGTCAGGAATCATCGTCAGACCTCCAGGGACCTTTAAAATGAGTGGGCGCTGTGGAGAAGTGTGACTTGTTTGGCAAGACACACAGAGTCACACAGAGCACAGAAGAAGCCCTTCATCAATGAAAGGCAGAGGAAAGCCCGGTTACTCTTTGCTGGAGATCACAAGGATTGGACTGTTGATGATTGGGCTGAGGTTCTCTTCAGTGATGAATCCAATTTTCAGCTGATGCCCACTCCAGCCAACTTACTGGTGAGGTGGAAGCCTGGAGAAGCCTACAAACCAGACTGTCTTGCCCCTACAGTAAAACATGGGGGTGGATCAGTGACCATCTGGGTTTGTTTCAGTTTGGGTGGAACAGGGCAAATGCAACTGTGAGAAGGGCGAATGGACCAGGTCATGTACAGGGCTACTCTGGAAAACAGTCTTCTTCCATCAGCTGGAAAACTCTTTCCTGCCTCCAAT